TTTTTTTTACGGCTGACCACTGAGCCGGCCAGCAATTCACTGAACGAGCCGTATAACATCAACTCTGCAATGGATAATAAAATCCAAAATATAGTGAAAACTAGTGGTTCAACGGATCACAAATCTCACGGTTCGGATCATATTACGGTTTCTGAGCCACGGATCGGATCATTTTTCGGATCAGCAAGAAAAAAAATCTATGTAACTTTGCTTTCCATAAGTATGATACCACAGCAAAAACTCTTAGCCTAAGAAAGTTCAAACATTATTAAAGAGACAATTGAACAGCCAGTAAAAATAAGAACAAATAGGCTACACAAATTACAAACATAGATAAATACAACAGAACAATGTTACAAATAAGGTCGGTAGTATACAGATATAGAAATGTAATAATTAAGTGTAAAAGAAAACTGCATAGTGTTCACTGTATAAATTAAAAAATAGATTCATCTTTGTCAAAAACGTGTTTTGTGATTTGATGATCATAATGACAGCAGCAGGTATTATTAGGCTCCTGCCCCTTTAAGACCTGATGCATGGATCCAATATAGCCTAATGATTTCTTTCTCAGCTGTTCTCGTTCACTTAAGACACAAATGGTTCAGTTCGGTGTTCGCGCGCAGTCAAACGCGCCTCTCTGCATGTGCGAGCTTCATGTTTGTGCGGCTGTGATAGAAAACGGCGTGCGAGTAACGAATCGAGTTCCATTTCGCCTTTTCTTTCGCTAGAATGGTTTAAAATCGCTTGCGTGTGTAAACACGTACAATTGATAAACTTATTTTATGATAAGTTATGATAAAAAAGATTTTAACTTATGATAAAAATTACATTTTGCAATTAATTCGCGGATCACATGTGTACCGAACCGTGGGGCTTGGTCCTTAGGAATCACGGATCAACTACGAGCCGTTTAACCTCTAGTGAAAACACTATTAATTAGCACAGTAACAAGATCGGCAGTTTAAGACATAAACTTGTAAGCACAAAACACAAGATACTTCTCTTTTCAATATAAATAAGGCTTTATTAGATAAATCTAAGACATATAAACTAGTCTAACACATAAACACATGCACTCACACATTCACACAAGTTGCAGGAAGAGAGAAAGTGAGGAAAAAATGAGTTTAAGAGCATGAAAATGTGAAATCCCAAGTTTACAGCAATATGTGCAATTGCATAGACCTGAACAACCATCCATCACTTAATTAAACCTCGCATTGAGTTCCTCAATGAGGTTAAAATTTATATTAAATGCACCAGTTCAGCTAGAATCGGGAGGTAATTGCATCGCTTGTTTAGGAGATTCCCTTGTTGTAGTTGCTGAAAGGGGTTTCCCGAGGTTGCTGATTGGCTGGAAGTTCAGTAGTCGTTGAAGTGACATCTTGGGAAGCCAATGGTTGGGCGTTGGCTGAAGATGCTGAGTTGTGGGCTGGTTAAGGTTTTGAGGCGGTCACAGACTCTAGATGAACCCGGAGACACGGAGTTGCGGCAAAACTTAACTCAGAACACAAAACTCTCAACAGAAAAGAAAATAAACTGAGGGAAAGAAAGAGAATAAGAGTGTGACGAGACTAGATGGATTTTCTCCTCATGATGTACGAAGCAGCTGGCATGTAAGCCAGAGCACGCTCAAAGAGCGCTAAAAAGCAGCGGCAAAAAGCATGGCAGCATAAAGCAAAAAGCGATGACTAAAAGCAATAGCAAAAAGCATAATTTGATGGTGTCCTGAGTATTTAAACCGGGCTGTTGGACACATCCCAAATGGTGTCTTGACCAATTAGACATTGTCTTAGCTCGGGGTGTTGAAGAGACATTGCATTTTTATTCCTTTTCCTCAGGCAATTGAATCCATTCAAGCTTCATGTGTGCTAGCAAGTGCATTTGGGAAGTGTTAATTCCAGAGTACAATCAATGCCAAATCATCACTAAGTACACATTTATTTTTCTCTTTAGTAACGTTTCCATGTGGAAAAGTGGCAAGTTTGAGTCAGTGGGACCGACGTCAGTCAACTAACATACAGTCAGACTATCAAGGACTCACCTGCGGCTCAGAAGAGTGTCCCTGGCAGGTGAATAAACCACACTTGATCCTCCAGACATCATGTTTGTTGTTTACGTACACACTGCAAGTTGATGAAAGTCAGAGCCAATCTGCAGATTTGAGTTCACAGATTTCATAGAAAATCACGTAGCGTATGCTGGTCACAGATAGCTTCAGACAGTGTTTCTTCTGTAACTATTTAAAAATTCGGCAAGTGTACGATGACTAGTGTTTTGAAAAATCTGTTCAGGTTTTAAAAGACGTATAGTGTATTCCAGCCTTAAAGGGTTAGTTCATTATGTTTTCAGAACAATTTCATGAAACACGTTGAACAGTGGTTTCCTAACATGCTACAAAACCATTCCTTACACTCTACAGGTAAAAGGGTGACCTCATTCGAAGCAGGAGAGCAGACGCTTCAGGTAAAGCAGGTGCACATCCACCCGCTCTATGTTGAGGGCAAACCTGACCATGACATGGCTGTAGTAGAGCTGACGCAGAAGATCGTCTTCAAGAAGAGCGTGCTTCCAGCCTGTCTGCCTGAGAGAGACTTCGCTGACAGTGTGCTCATGGCGGGCGACTACATGGGTGTCGTCACCGGCTGGAAGGAAGTTTCCGGTGCAACGGATCTTGAAGGGAACCTCATGTTAAACCACCTGTCCTATGACAAACTGCTGGTTTGCTCGCAGCGTCATTCTGGTCAGGTTGGTGGACGTGTCCGTATTTGATGGGGTTCCCATGGTCACGAAAAACCATTTCACAAATTGTTTCCTCATTATCAAACTTGTTATCATACACTCATGCAATTGTATATTATCCAAGCATCAAAACATAAAACTATCCATGGTCTTGGTGTAGAGGACTCTCAGAATAATAGTAAAACTTAGTAAACGTACAGGTGGATCGACCTAGGGTTTCTAGGGCTGCGCAATTAATCGAATTTCTAATCGCGATTACAATTAGGGATGCCACAATTACGTAATCGTTCAAAGCGGCAATTAATCGTTCAAAGTCCGCTCATGTTATTATCCGTGCTTAAGATGCATTTTTTTTCTTTCTACATGTTATCTTAAGGGTTTTTCACATTATTTTAATTTTAGTTTTCGTATAACATTATAATATCATTCATATTTGTACTTTTTTATAATTTAAAGAAACCAACCAGATGTATGTTTGATATTTGAGGCTTAATACAATAGAAAAGCACTAAAAGTTTTTTCAGTTAGAGTGTTTTCAGCTTGTTTATTTTCATATAAAAAT